TTAGTAAATAATGGAGTGACTTGGACTTCTTCGCAAATCAAATCAGCGTGTCCTCCGAAAAAGAAAAAAGACAAAGAAGAATCATCTTTGGATGAAGATAAAAATGACACAGATTCCACAATTCCAAAAAAATCACCATATGTAGCTCCTAGTCAAATCTGTCCAACTATTAAACCTTGTTGTTATATTAAAATGCAGGTAATTCAGTAATTTTATGCATAAACATATTTTTTGGATATCCAAATTATGAATTTATGAATTGAATGATATAATATTATTAAGCTACTAGTCATATTTTTAATAATATAAAATTGTGGGAAAGGGCATTCGTTAATATCTGCTGCTACTTTTTTGTAATTGAAAATATTTTACATAAAATTAAGTTAATCATTTGCATTATTAATCTCTAGCTCCTATACACCATTGTTTAAATTTATATTTCAATTTTCATTTAAGATATGCAGCGTTTAAATGTACAAACGTGATTTTACAGGATCCTTGTAGACCGTGTTGCTGTGAGACAAAATTAAAGCCACTACCTTGTCCACCAAAACGCGGATTTCAAGAACCACGTGAATCAGTGTGTGGTTGTGAACTCTGTCAGAAAAATCCAGATAACGCGAAGTGTTGCGACAAGAGTAGAGCTTTTCGTGACTTAACCATTGATCGTGATTATTTTGAAAAGGCATAATTTTTTTTATTATATTGCATTATATTAATAATGCCATATTTAGTCGACTAAAAATCAATATTAATAATGTAATGTGCTTTTACATGTATCATTTTTCGCTAATTGTATTCAAACAATATATGCATACATAATATATAAAAACAACCATTGAAATTTATTCAAAACATACACTTTTTGTAATGCTAGGTGACAATTTTAAGATTTTAGAAATATTTCTAATTGTCATGTAACGAGAACAGATATAAAACGATAATGGCGTTTACACCTTAGAAATTCTACAAATAATCTTATATTATAATCTTATCAACAGTATAGCATTGCGTACGCGAGTGTAGTTGATATAAAAATCAGTTTCTAACTAGCCGCACCCGTAAACTGTGAATGAGCGTAGAAATTCAATAACTATAGTTCATCAGGTAATATCCTTTAATCCTTTTCGATATGTTTTCTAAAATTTTTTGTTTACGTGTGTATGTAAATAGCAAATTATGTAAGTTATTAAATAATTTTCTAAAAAATGTATACGATATATAAACAATTAATACGTGTATTTTGCAATTTCAACATTATTAAAAAATGGCAATTATGTTATTTTTGTTTATAAGTTCTGCCTATTTTTAATAAACATATTTTAAAAATTTTCTGATTTATTACAAATTTTTAGTTACATAATGTATTTACATATCATCAGTGGGTAAAGTGGTATAACCAATAAAATTTATCAATTTGTGAAAACAAGCTTTATTTTATAAAAGTATTGATATTAATTACACTTATACATTATATACTTTATTTTAAATAATTAAATTACAGGAAAATTTTCTTCTATAACTTATATGCTTTTAGTAAACTCTACCGGCTTCGATATTTGTTATCCACGTATGAAAATTCCACTTGAGGCTAACTTCAAGCGTCTATTCCTAGTCTACAAACATTACTTCATCGATTAATCGAATATTGTGATTCATTCAAGTGTAGGGCGTTTCATGTGGATTGTATACACATATATTGATTCACGCAGGTTCGGCTACCTAAAATCAAAAAGGGTGTAGTGTTGATACTGCAGACAACTGCGCGGGAGATATCACGATTTGTGCAACATTCGCAATTTGGTAAGTACATTTATTATGTACATAGTTGATGTTTTTAGTAATATGAAATATGTGAAAAATACGCACATACCGAAAGGGATAATTAAATCGAGATATTTTCCTATTGGTGTATGTTTCGTTTGATTTATACACATTTTATTTTATTATATTTCCGATGATATCTTCGTTTTTTATATACTTTTATACATAAATAATACGATAAAAGTATATTCTAATCATTCTTAAGCAAATAA